TGTATGGCTTCAGAGATGGCCATTTTGGTATGGGATAATCAGTTGTTATCCTCTTACTTGGGGAAGACTAGTTCTCCTCTCAGTATTCTTAGTTGCTTCTAGTTCTTTATGTAGGGCTGATGCCCCCCTGGGCTTTCCCTGACACACTTTTACATGTCTGTTGTCCTTGTTTGGCTCATGCTTAGGTACTCACGTTGGTGAGACCTTATGGGTGTAGTTTCTGACACTCTTAGAAGACACAATATCATGGCAAACTCTCTGATCCTCTGACTCTTACAATCTTTCCACCATAATATTCCATAATATTCCCCAAGTGTTAGGTGAAGGAGTAGAGGTATCTTTTGGGGTTGGTCTACAAAACTCTGCATTTTGATTGTAGTTTTCTGTAATGGTCTCTGTTACATCAAGAAGCTCCTGATGAGCAGGGAGGACTACATTTATATCTGAAAATTTGGAGTAGGAGCCTCCAATGAGAGAGAATATGCAAAGTTTGTGTTTCTAGGTTACCTCATTCCATTTGCCTGAAAAGTTCATGATTTCATTTTTCTTTACACCTGAATAGTATTCCATAGGATACAGGTACCACATTTCCACCATCCTTTCATTAAAGATGAATTCATTTAGGTGGTTTTCATTTTCTAGTTACTGCCAATAGAGCAGCAATTAATATGGTTGAACTTACCTGTGCAATAGGATTTTGAGTACTTTGGATATATGACAGGAACAGACAGAAAGTAACATTATGTGACAGCATGGGAGAAATGCTAATAAGCTGTTCTCTGGTTCTCCCAGATTGGATCCAATTATGAATTAAGGAGTGTTTATAGAAGGTGATTGTGTTGGTTAGTCTTATGTTAACTTCACACAAGCTAAAGTCATTTGGGAGGAGGGATCTTGGATGAGAAAAGTGGTTCCATTCAATTGGTCTACAGACAAGTCTATCAGGCATTTTCTTTGTTAATGACTGATGTAGGAGGGCCCAGTCCATTACGGGTGGTGCCAACCCTAGGCAGATGGTCCTAAGTTGTATAAAAAATCAGGTTGAGCAGGCCATAAGGGGCAAGCCAGTAATCAGGGTTCTATCATGCCTTCTTCTTCAGTTCCTGCCTCCAGGTTTATGCCTTGGGCTCTCTCCCTCAAAGGATTATAACTCAGAATATATAAGCCAAATAGATCCTTTCCTCCCTGAATTGCTTTTGGTCACATTATTTTATTACAGCAATAGAAACCTTAACTAAAACAGTGACATGCCTTTGGGATAAAATGAACTTCAGCATGGCCTTCTAGTTTAAGAGGAAGCTGTAGCCACGCCTTCTTAGGGGCTGGCTACAGGGGTACCTGATCAGGCTTGTGAGGGTGTGGTCAGAGTGAGTAGGGGGACTGCGTTTCGGTTTCGTTTTCTCTCTTTGTTTCTTGCTGTACAGACTACCACCGGCTGGCTGGTTCGCTCTGTAAGTAAGGCTTTTCCCTATTAAATACCCTTATATTTCTACCTGACTCCGTATTGGTAATTTCCTACTATATCTGGTGTCAGAAGTGGGATATTGGAAACCCACACCCCATTTGGGACAGGCTGTGGGTTCAGGAAATTCTATAAACTATTTAGGTTACAAGATAGACTTACAGAGAATCAGACCTCAAAAGGTACAAATTAGGAGAGATCGGTATCAAACTCTTAATTCTCTTCAGAAATTATTAGGGGAAATCTCTCAATTACAGACATAAACAGAATAAAAAGTTAAAGACATATATAAAAAAGATTTCTGATTTGATTTTAAAGGGTAAATTAAGACTTCACCAGCTGACTGAAAAAGATCCAGCAGAAATTATAGTACCTTTAACTAATGAAGAAATTTCTTCCTTATGGAAAGATAATGAATATTGGCAAATAGCTCTTACTGACTTTTTGGGAACAATTAGCAACAACTATCCCAAAACTGACAGAATTAAATTCATAAAAAAGACAGTCTGAGGATTTCACATATTGTAAGACAAACTCCCATTTCTGGAGTTCTTACCTTCTACACTGATGCCAACAAATCAGGTAAGGCAGGTTATAAAGCAGGTGAGGTAAGTAAAGTAGTTCAAAGTCCATATACATCTGTACAGAAGGCAGAATTATATGCAATTCTCATGGTACTTAAGGATTTTACAGAACCTCTTAATATAGTTACTGATTCTCAGTATGCAGAGAGAGTCGTGTTACATATTGAGACTGCAGAATTGGTTCCTGATAATACAGAATTAACTTCTCTGTTTTTACAATTACAGGAAACTGTCAGAAACAGAAGTAATCCTATATATGTTACACATATCAGATACCATACGGGTCTGCCAGGCCCACTAGCACAAGGCAATGATGAGATTGATCCTTTATTAATTGGTAGTGTTCTAGAAGCCTCAGAATTTCATAAGAAGCATCATGTTAATAGCAAAGGTTTGAAAAAGGACTTCTCTATCACTTGGCAACAAGCCA